GAATGTATCACCTTTTTTCTATTTGTGACTTTTATACTGCTTTGAATATTAGATAGCTTTGGAATTGGAATCGTGATTGTGTTGACCAAACGTATAGACCAATGGTCACCAACCAGTGTATCTCGATCCACCGGTAGATCTTTGAGCCTCTTGAGGTAGATCTCAGAGTCTCTTGGTGTCAATCTGAGGCTGGGGTGTAGGGCTGAGTGCCTGTATGCATGCATGCATGCACATGCCCCAGCCTAGCAGGTCAGTCCATGGGGGAGGGAAGAGATGGGGGCTAAACTGAGACCCCCACGGTGAGGGAGTGCTGCAGAGGCAGGTGCAGGGGTAAGTTGAGTGGGGCCCTGACCAGGTGGGACTTACCTGCTGGGGAGGTGTGCCCCCAGATAATTATTTCTCTTTGCCTCCATTTGTCCCCCACCCTTTCCCTCCCCACAGACTTACCTGCTTGGGGGTGGTGCGTGGAGGGGGAGGATGGCAGCAATGCACAGTAGATCTTGGGCCACTTTTAAATGCTAACCTACTAAAAAAGGTTGGAGACCGCTCATATAGACTTAATGTTATGTTCTTTAAATGGATCAGCGGAATCCTTAAAATCAAGTTTTCTGTGCAATTCTCACAACCACACATTTGAAAATTACCTTTCATTTTCTGACTCAGTGAATGCAACAGAAGGAAACTTGTTCACTAGAGTACTTGTCAAAAAGTAAACACAAAACAAGACTAGTAAAGAAAATCAAAGGGAATCTATTTTGAAATTGTCTGTGACTGTATGTGTAATTATAGCAGTATTTAGGAACCATTACATGTGAGTTTCTCTCTGTCTCTCGCTCTCTAGAAACTTTCTATTCTTGTGATAGCTGAATATGACTTGTACAAAGCTTCTGATTCTTCATGTAATTTCAGTAAGTTTTTGCCCTTGATCTACGTGCCCAAATCTCCCGCTGATGTCAATAAGAGTTGAATGCACAGATCAAAGGCACAATATGACCTGATATGAATAATTCACACAGGTTTTTGTACTTGATGGCTTACAAATATTCACCTAGGCTTCTCCTCCAAGTTTTGGGAGTTATTAAGCTAAAAACAACAATTGACAGTGACGTTGAATGAGAGATCAGTTGTACATACCTGTGAGAGAGCTGGCATGAAGGATTAACTTGATCAAAATTGGTTTTGGAAAATGATGAAGGCAAAGAGAGAGATTTTCCCATAAAGCTTTAAAAATATATATAGTCTGGCACATAAAGAGGGAAAATGTCATAAACTGCCTGCTAGAAATACAAAACAGTTTAATATGAAAGGGGATCACCTTAATTTATACCAACTTCAGACTGCTTGAATGGTATTTCCTTTAGTGATATCTTTTAAAAAAAATTTGCATTGTTTTATTTTGGCTTTTTATCATACAACTTTCTCTGTCCTTGCTCTGCTGTTGCCGAGAACAGTCTGAATTGGAAATGAAGAATAGGTAATTGAGGTACTCTCTGTTGCTAAATCCAAGAACCTGAATTCTGACCTTGAAGGAAGCTAGCTGAGTTACAAATGGAGGTGATGAGCCTTCGCACACAGTCAGAACCAAGGAAGGTGTGATTTTCCATTTCAAAATATCACCGAAAAGGGACTGGCATAAGGAAAGCTGCTGAATAATCTGAGAGTTAAAGAGCATATGTTTACATTAGTGGTCTTTTAGCAGAAAGATAAGTATTGCTTATCAGAATATTTCTTTTATGTTTTGGTTTAGGATCAAGTGGCTAACAGATACAAAATGATTTTTCCATTTCATGTCACTCATGATATATCTGTATCTGCAGCATACACTGGATAGGTCTGTTTTACTTGCTTCTCTGTATAAATTCATTTAAAAAAAAAGTATTATTCCCAAAACAACTGTATACCCTGTGCAATCCAGGGAAATTGCTTCTCAAATAATTAAACCTTGTTCTTTGAAACATCAACTAAAGTTTTCTTTGATTGCTCAGAAATTAGAGCTGAACAACACTTTTATAATCGAATCTGAAGCCATTCGGACTCGTGGGCATTCCAATAAATAATCTGAGTCCATTTTTTTATTACGTCAAAAAAGGAATGAGGAAAGGAACAGTTTGTCTGAAAAGGGAAGTAGGAAGACCTTAACTGTTTCAGCAGAAGAAAAAAAAGTCAATCTCTTCTGTTTTTGTTTTTTTTTATACGTGCTATATCATACTAGTGGGTATGTTAGTAAAATTGTGCACACTAATAAAGCCAATTTAACAAATGTGTACCTTTCAATATCTACAATAGCTAAGGTAGGGCTAGTGACCAGAGAATCCCAAAATGTTCAGAATTCAGGTTCAATGTGCATAAACATCCGAGCAATTTATTCGTTGTGTATTTAAATCACTTAAACTCTTTGAGAACTGAGCTTTTCCCACCAATTACCCTCATTCTGCACCAGCAGGATCTACAGCTTCTCTGCTGGACATTGTTTCTGGCCCTTTAAACTTTACAAGCCTTCTGGAGCTAACTTGTTCCTAGAATTTCACCATCCCCATGCTTCCTAATTGCTCTGAGCAAAAACTGTTTGCTCTGTGGTGTTCACGGCACTTTTATTGTTATGTGAGGTTAACATGTTTTTAGCCTTTGGAAGTTTTTGTTCTTCTTTACTTTCCTGATGTAGATACTAAGACTTTTATAGCTGGGGCTGGCTTCCTCTGAACTGTTGCCTTGTGACACAACTCTGCCTTATTTCTCTTTCATTAGCACAGGTGATAATTATCTCTGCAAAGTATTTCAGAAATTATTTGTGGATATAATTGAGGGGTATATTTGTATTTGGATGCTTAATTATAAAGGGCATCTTTATTTTACGTATATATAAAAGTGACTTTAACTTCAGCTGAAGCAAAAGAATCTTAATTCTAGGTCTCATGGGCCATGTCTACACGAGATGCTGACTGCACAGTAGCTCATTACTACTGCGCAGTAGTGTCCTGTGTCATGAAGCAATGCCACCAGCGTCTCATGTAGACACAGCCATGTAGACCCAAACGAGTTCTATACATTTGCTAAGGCCCCCGCCAACCTGAGTGAGTTGGCAGAATCCTAAGAGCCACCCAAATTTATACCAGATAGATAATGCCCTAAAATAACCTTACATGGCTATAAATTGACACAGCACAGATGCACTCTGCCCATCCGCATCCCAATGCAGCTTCTCCTCCCTTCGATCACTGGCTAAAGGAGGAGACAACTAGCATAAGCACGGTCTATACTACTTTGTGTCAGCTGAAATTTCTTTTGCAATATATTTTGCAAAAATAGACGCATTGGGTTCCCTTAATGAAATATACTTCCTACAGCCCCAGAATCTGCTGACGGAAAATGATATTCTTCACAAGTTTCACCTGCTATGAGCTGGTTTTAGGCAACCTGGGACATCCATGAACTTAAGGATCTCACAGCCTCAAGATTTCTGAGCTGAGGCAACATGAACTGCAGGGCAGCCCTGAAGATACAGACCTTGGAACCTATTCTAGGATTGCCAGGTTCCTGATTAATGCCTGAAAGCCCTAAGACTTAGAGGAGTGGGGGCCAACCTTTTTGGCAGATGTGCCACAAATTAAGCCCTATGCTCCCTTCCTCCTCTTGAGTGCCACTACAATTCTTTTCTTCCCTTCCCAATCTTCTGCTTTGCTTTATGCTCTCTTCCCTGTGCTCCCTGCTTGATCTGCTGCTCTGCTTTATGCTGCTGCCCTAGCTGCTGCTGTGCTACCTGGCCCCTTCCCAATCGGCCACGTGCTATATACAGGACATATCTACATGTGCTACAGAGTTCATTGCTCCTGGGCACGACATTTCCATAAGTGTCCAGGACTGCAGCATGTTGAGCCAGGTTGGAGCAGCCCAGCTGGCAGGGGGCCCCAGCAGTCAGCCTACTGGCCTGGGGTTGCTCCTGCCCAGCAAAAAGTGCTGTGGAGGGGCTGGCTGAGGCATGAGAGAGTTTCAGTGTGGGGCTAGCCAGCTGGGTCAGTGTCTACACGTGCATTGCAGTGGAATAAATAACTCCACCATAGGAAAGTACTCCTATGGTGGAGTTAATTAGTTTACTCTGTCCTAACAGCACTGCATGTGTAGACAGTGACATTTTACTGTGGAGCTAATTAGGGAACTCGACAGTAAATGTCTTGTGTAGACACACCCACAGACTAATTGTATGTGCCTCTTGTGACATGTGCCTTAAAGATTTCCAGCCTTCGCAGTGTAGATCTCAGGGGTGCATCCTGGTTGAAGCAATACAGCTCATGGCTTTTGGGCTCTTTTGCTTTGTGGCAGGGAGGCTTGAAGCTCTGGCTTGGTGGAGCTACCCACAGCCATAGACACTAGAAGCCCATTTTCCTTAGTAACCTACCAGAAAAGTAACTTGTCTTAAGCTGCAAACTATTTTGAATGCTGTGGATCATTGAAACTGTCTCATCAGAAAATTTCCAACCAGCTCTAGTTAAAACTTCCAGGAAGTGGATCTGTAAATTACTTTGTTGATTTGTGATGAACAAATATCTGGTTCTGCTCAGAAACAATGGCACAGACACAATCTGATTCCCAACATCTATTGAGAGCCACAGAAATGCAGTCTTAGTAATGAAACTATTGCAAATCCATGTCAAATGTGTTGTTTGGACAGTTCTCCCATATTTATGAACCATCACAATAATATTGCACATGGATCAGATGCATAAATGTGTGTGTGTTCTATCATTTCTATATTTTCCCTTAATTTATGGGTTAGCTGAAGTAAATTGATTTACTGAACAACCATCTTAGAATTCTCTATATTGTAAAATAAGAAACTACTCTTTCACTATTATCTCTAAGTACAATACTTCCCATATAATAAATGAATATGTATTTAGATAGGATATACATTACTTAAAGGAAATAAAACCCCAACTTTTCCATTAAATAAATAATCCAGAAGTACTCTCAGTGGCTTGCACATTTTGAAACTGTTGTTTCCTTTCCTACATATTGGGTAATGTTATAATTCTTTTTTCTACTCACCTATGTATCCCAGTACTGCAGTAGATCTTGGCAGAGTCCAGATGCCCACCTCCTAGAAGATTCATTCTAGTACCGGCATAAGAGTATTAGATCTTCTTCCTTGACCTTGCTGGCAGATGCCTGTAAATTTGTGTCTTGGGATCATTTAGACCCCTCTGTTACTACTGTCAGGTTTTTTTTAATTTTAGCTTTTCATTATCTGGGTCTTATCAGACATCAATAGCAGAGTACTACATGCTAGGAAAATTCCTCTGCAAAGTGAAATTTATGTACCCCCTTGAAAGACTGAGCAAAAATGGTTTTGCATAGTGAAATATGTAGAAATTGGTGGGGTTGGATCAGAATTCAAAGCTCTACTCCCAGTGCCCTGAAGTCCTCAAGCCTATGGCTTATAAAAATGGCTGTTTCCTCTTTACATCACTAAGGCAGGATTAATTATTCAGGATATGGGAAAGTACAAATGCTCCCTTTTTGCTTCCCTTTTTACCTTGCTTAGATATTCCTGCCTTTGCTGGTATATTTGAAAACAGAACAGAGTCTGTATCCCAGGCACACAGCACCATTTCCCATGTACCTGGCCACTTGAAGCTTCTGTGTTGCAGGAACTTGAAGTAGGCTCTATGCAAATGAAATGACCTCACTCAAGATGTATAGGCCTTCATCACTCTAGTAAACAAAAGAAGAGGGGGAGGGGGGAGAATCTCTTAGCGTACCGGTTTTATGTGTAAGCAACACACATCCCCATTAATGAGCTAAGTATACTTTCTGAACAAGAACTAAAATGTATAGCCTCTCTAATGTGCAATGAACTTGCATATTTTACCATGGATGCACGGAAAGCATATGGATTCTATCACTTTATTATATTCTGGACTGCCTTCCTTCCCTAATAAAAAAATGTACCAATATGACCACTGTCAGTCAGAGTCTGAAACTGAAAGAGTTTTGTCTTTAGGGTTTATGGTTTCATTACGTTATTAAAAGAACAACACCAGGATGATGTAATTATAAAACACAATATTACTAAATGCAAAAATATTTACATTATTGCTGCAGAGAGTCATGTGGCAAGACAGAAAACCCGTTTTGATATGGATATTTTCTTTGAGTTTGAAAAACATGTATTTCAATAACTAAATGTGATCAATTTACCACAGGAAGGAAATTCAGCAATTTAGATATTCTTCCAAGTGTATTCACAGAATGTGGAAATTACATTGGAACACTGAAAAAAAATCCTGAATATAGACTTCCAGAAGATTTCCAATACTTTCTGAGTGCCAAAAATCCTGTTTGAATAATCTTACTTTCATTTCAGTGCAATTGCTTGGACTGGAAGTGGAAAGGCACATTAATCAAGCAAATGTACCTTAAAACTTGAATGAAGGTACAGTTTATGTTTCAAGGAAAAATCAGACTAGGCTTCCTTAGTGAAAACTTTGTTAGTCTACTGAGGTTCAGAGCATCATATGTGATATTAGGTACAGTATGAATAGCTAACATCAGAAGATTAACTTTATTTCTAACATTCCTTTAATTTTTGTGGGTTTAGTTTCTTTAATAGTCCTCCAGGAAAAGCAACTCAGCAGGCTGTACTGTCTTTGATTCAGGGCTTGGAACTTGGGCTAGAACCAAAGTTTCCAGCTGAAACCAATGCTCGTGGACACTAATTTACAGTCTTCTGAAAAGTGCATTCATAATGACAGTAATGACACAGGAACTGATTTATTATCATTATGCTCTCAAGCATTGGGAGTTAAGAGTCTCAAGTAAATTCTTTGAAAGGTAACTGATATTATTTGCTACATATCATACTAATAATATAGATAGGCAGCATTATTTATGGTCACCCTGAATGCATGGAGTTAGTACAATCTGTGCACAGTAAAATACCTTTGCATTAATTCTCTTAATAAGCATCTTGATAAGAGTTGAAAGGGGGGGGGGGGGTTGAGGAGGCCAGGAGCATGATGTCAGCTAAAGTTCACATTTTATTGATGTGCCCTTTATTACATCTAGCTTTGCCTGATGACAGAAAAGGGGCAAAAATAATACTCTAACTGTACACCAATGCAGCACTAGTGGAATTGGATTTTGATTTGAGCTAGTAACAGTGTTACTGAGAAGCAAGTAAAACATTTTTGAACAAATGACATTTTCAAATGTGCCAGTCTGTTGGAAAATAATGAATGATGTTGTCTCAATGATAAAAACGAAAGAGAGATTCCAATATGGGCAATTCTAATTTGATTTTAAACACTCTGTGTATTTGTAACACTAAACTCACTTTCCTATATATTAAACTGATTTGTAACATTTGTAAGAGCCTGGCCTATTCACAGAAAATGATCATAGCATGCAAATAAAAAGCAAATCCAATATGAACTTTCTAGACCTATTAATTTGCTGAGTAGGTTTGGATGCTTTCCTAATTACTACTTAATGTTTTGCAAAAGTCATCAAAACCTGCTATTACATCTGTTGAGTGCATGATTGGATAGATTTAATTTTAAGATACAAAGGGAATGCACAAATACAAATTATTTCACCACGCACCCCTTTTATCAGTAAGTAATCTACCTTTCTGTATGATTGCTTAAGGCTGCCAACCAACATTTGTATTAAGTTTTACAACATTTCTTGGCTTTCTTTTATCGTCTTTCCCTGTGCCAAAAACACATTAAAAATGGCATCTATCACTGATCCTTCCATCTGTTTTTGTTGAAACTTGAGAATATTTTTCATTACTATTATTCAGATCTTTTAAAGATCGTGTTCATATCTAATTTTTCTTACACACAAAGTGCCTGTCTTTTCACACACACGTGAAAGCAAAAGTCTAATTGGGCCAACTGATGTGTACTGATGAAATTAAAGTAATAGGAATAGTATATTCCTCTAATGGATAAAGTCAGTTTTGTGATCTGTTAGATCAGAACAAAACTTAGCTCAGTCAAAGAAAGGACAATAGTTTTTGGGTTTGTTTGTTTTTTTTACATTTCCACTACCTTTATTTGGGGATTAATCTCCTCCTCTGAGTGTTCTGGGGGAACATAAGAGAGGCAGGGGAGAAGTGGAACTTTCTATAAATAAGAAAAAGTCAAGAAACTGAAGCACAACTGGTATAAATTGGTGTTGTCTTACTAGGTTCTTTAAGCTACACCTGCCTATTTATCCTACCTGAAAATCAGTTTTAGGAAGGAGGCAGTGATGAGGGGAGGGGAGGGGAAGAGAAGAGAGGTTGCAGAGATGGTGCTGTAGGCCTTCCCCCTAACATTCAAAGGTAAAACTTTTTAATAATCTCCCCTTCACAACTCCCCCTTACAACTCTCCTCTCCTTAGGCGTACCCCAAGCACCCAAAACAATGCTGCAAAACCTGTTAAAGGTTAAAATTATTCTGGCCAACTGTGGAACTCCTATATAATCTGATCCTATCTGTCTTCAGAAACTCCTGGAAAAAGTTGGAGTAATACAAGGCAGAGAGAGGACCAAGACCATGGCCAAATTGGGAAGATCAAAGCTAAAACATGAAGACCTCTGGGGCCCTAAATTACAGCAGCCTTCCCTGGGCTTCCTTAAAGAGATGCCTACACTTGTATTTAGATCTGCTGTCCTGTCCTGATCTGCCAGCCAACCATCTTAGAATCCTGCAGCCTTTCCCCACAGTTGCTCAGTCCACCCTATCCTTGAAGCTTTTCTGAGCGTCATCTTTGCTGGCGGCTGTGCTTCCCCCATCATCCACCCCTCTTTGCAGTGTGTTAAGTAATCATCTGAGCTAAGTAGGATTGATGCACAGGAAACTCTATAGAGGTTCTTCTGCACCCCATTTCCTATGATCCTCTCCACATAGGTGACAAGTAGGAAATCTGACTGAGTTTCCTCTTCCTCCAGTAGAACTTTTCCTTGGAATTAGTCGGCAAATGATTCCTCTCTCCTCCTGTGCTTTGCCAAATTGAAGCAGTAAGGAAATATAGATAGGGAGGGGTAGCTTATGTACCCTGGGACAGTTGTAATCACAGAACTGGAAGGGACCTATATGATCATCAAGCCCAGTCCCCTGCCATGGGCAGGAAGTACTGGGCTCAGATGAGATCAGGAAAGTGCCTGTCCAGACTCATCTTGAACACCTCCAAGGAGGGCAACTGCATCATCTCTGGCAACTGCATCATCTCTGCTGGGAGCATGTTCCAGATTCTGGTGACCCTTCCAGAGAAGAAGTTTTTCCTTGCATCCAACCTGAATTTACCCTCTATTACATTATGTCCCTTGGTTTTTGTCCTCCCTTGAGATGCCCTTCTGAAGAGTTGCTCTCCTAGTTCTTGATGCTTCCCCCAAGGTACCTGTAGGCAGCTATCAAGTCACTTCTCAGCCTGCTCTTCCTCAGGCTGGACAGGCCCAGTTCCTGGAGTCTCTCCTCCATGCCTGTAATCAAATGGGTGGCCCTTCTCTGTACCTTCTTAAGCTTATCTATGCCCTTCTTGAAGTGCAGTGCCCTGACCCAGGCAGAGTACTCCAGCTGAGTACCAATGCTGAATAGACAGGAAGAAGTACCTCCCTGGAGCTATTAGCCACACAGTGGCTGATGCATGCCAGAGTTTTATTGGACCTTTGGCAGCCTTGTCACACTGTTGGGTCATATTCATCTTCCAGTCAATCGTGATGCCCAGGTCTCATTTAGATGTTGTGCCAGCCAGTAGGCCACCACCCATTGTATAGTTGTGGTAATAGTTCTTCCTACCCAGGTGAAGGACCTTGCACTTCTCCCTGTTAAACTTCATCTGATTTCATTCTGCCCATATGTCCAGTCTGTCAAGGTCCTCCTGGATTTTTGCCCTATCCTCTGGTGTGCCCATGTTTCCCCACAGCTTGGTATCATCTGCAAACTTAATCATTCTGCTTTCTACCCCTTCATCCAAAGTGTTAATGAATATATTGAATAGCACAGGTTCAAGCACCGATCCCTGGGGGATGAAGCCATCCCTCCAGGATGAGGCAATCCCACTGATCACCACTCTCTGGGAGCGTCGTCTGAGCCAGTTTTCTACCCACCTCACTATAGACTAGTCCAGGTCAGTACTCTCCAGTTTGTTAGAGAGAATCCCATGGGAGACAGAGTCAAAGTCTTTACTGAAGTCTAAGTAGATGACGTCAACCTCATGTCCCTTGCCCAGATGGTTAGTGACCTGGCTGTAGAAGGATCATCAGGCATGATCTGCTCTCGACAAAGTCATGCTAGTTGCTGTTTAGCACCCCATCCATTAACAGCTTGCAGTTGGTGGCTTCCCTAACTAATTTTTCAAAGATTTTACCCAGGACTGAAGTCAGACTGACTGGCCTGTAGTCACCACATTGGCCATCTTCCAGTCATCTGTGACCACGCCTGAGTTCCATGACTCTTCAAATAGCTTGGCCAATGGCACTGCTCTACATTTGGCCAGTTCTTTCAGGACTCTTGTATACAGGTCATCTGGTCCAGCAGACTTGAAGATGTCCAAGCATTGTAAAAAATCCTTCACTCATTCTGGGCTGATTTCATGTAGGTTGTTATCTTCCCCTTGTTCCCTGAGCCTCTAGTAAGATGAGCAGCCCTTGCTGGGTTTCAGGAATACTGAAACAAAGTATGTATTCAGGAGTTCTGCCTTTTTGCATATGTTGACTGTGGGCTGCCCCTGAGTATTCAGTAGAGGTCCCACAATGGAGCCCAATTTTATTTTGTTCCTTATGTATCTATAGAAAGACTTTTTGTTGTCCTTTATACTGGTTGTCAGTTTGATCTCCAGGCCTGTCTTAGCTTTCTGTATCTTGTATTTGCAGGCCCTGGCAATATGGGTGCATTTCTCCCTGGTTGCTGAGCCATTCCTCCATTGCATATACACTTCTTTTTCTTTTTCAATAGCTCCCTAATGTCATTGGTGAGCCAAGCAGGTCTCCTGGCTCTCTTCCTGCTTTTTGCCTGTGTGGGGATGGCCTGTTTTTGAGCCAGGAGAGTTGTCTCCTTAAGGAAGCACCATTGTTCACTGATATGCACGCCCAGATCATCCAAATGCCGGTTGCAGAGGCCCTCTCCAATGAGCCTCTTCAGTTTGCCAAAATTTGCCTTGTTGAAATTCAGGACTTCTGCTCTGGTGACTAACTTCCCAGTCTTATGGTGGATGGTAAACCTTATCAGGTCATGGTCACTGTCGCCTAGAGTACCACCAATCCTTAGGTCACCTATGATGTTCTCCTCTTTGGCCAGCACTAAGTCCAGGGTGGCCTTGCCCCTGGTAGGCTCTTCTACAACCTGTGTTAGAAGCAGATCATCTATTGTCGCCAGGAAGTTGGCTGACCTGCTAGAGGCAGCCGAATGGTCTTCCCAACAGACGTCTGGGTAGTTGAAGTCATCCATGACAATCATGTCTCTAGTGCTAGCTGCCTCTGTTAGTTTTTCTGAGAATGCTTGATTGCTCACGTTGTCTTGGGAGGGTGATCTTTAGAGTCCCCTGAGTACAGGGGACTCTATACCTTAGAGGTACATTAAAATTTGCAGCTCTGCCCTGAATCACTGCAGCACTACTTGTAGTAGTATAACCCAGACTCCCTGCTCCCATCCCCAGCCCTTCCCCACCATTCCCCTTGAACTGGGCCTGGTTCTCTAAGTGGTCTGAAATGGCACGGTGTCATTGTTTTTGGGGGTTTTTTAAAGTATTTAATGCCAATTCATATAAGGTATGCATCTAGTCCACAGGTATTTTATCAATATATGCATGGGTATCTATGAGAGGTATGCAGGTCTCATCAAATCCAATAAGTGATATGCGTGCATGCACCCAGCAGCAGAATTTTTCCATTAGATATCAATACCCCAAGATTAATTTGTACATTAATTATAGCTTGAGGTTTGCAACAATTTTACACCCTTTGTTAAGCTTATCGTAAATTCTAATCTTGATTTTCTTCTTTTTTTAATGCATTTGACAAAGGCAAAACTTTTGACCTTATATCATGATCCCCCCCTGGAAACAGCAAGAAAGAGTTCTAGTTCATTTTTTCAGATGAAAAGTTGTGACAGAAGAATTGAAGTGAATTGAGTTTGATCATCTCTGTTTGGCTTTTAACACACGCTGCTCTTTTTCAGTGAAATTCAAAGGCTATTTAAGTATATTATGCCATTATGAAATTCTTAAGCATTTAACTAAAAAAAACCCAAAAGCAATAATGGCTTTTGAGAATGGAAAAGATGTATAATAGACAATGAGAAGTGGATTATTTATATAATTAAGGAAAACTGTTATGGGTTTTTTTCAATGAGGAAACATACTGGAAAAGTGGAATTTGATGGTGAAAGAACATTTGCTTAACAGTAATGCAGGCATACATTCACAAGAAGATAGTTATTTGTACATGGCTACATAGTCAAAAGCATTTGAAGTTGATACAAATGTCACATAGACCATTAGATAAATCAGTTTTTTTGAGGATGGGAGTAAAATAAATTTTACATGTTTCAATTTTGTAATATTTCATTTTTTCCTCTTTATAAGAAGCCAAACTGTTTCATTAGAGGATTTATATACCTGCCAGGTGCTTCTTCACATTTTTCAGTCAACATACAGTATTTCAACCATGACCTGAATGGACTACCTTTTCAGTATTATGATGGTAATTTAATCCCCATTCTTAATCAACCATGAGCCTTGAAGCAAGTGCTACCAATTAGGTTGAATTGTACCAAACTATGTATAATTTTTGTTTCAGTCATACCAGTTCACACTAACTTTAAATCTTACTCCTTTTTAGTATTTTGAACAAGAAACAGCCTGAATAAAAAATAAAGCATTTTGAAATGGGGGGAAGGGAATAAAATGACAAGGAGAGTGTAAAATTTAAAGATCAGATGAAAACCAGGAACTCGGCTGTAGAACATAATGCCCACCCTTTGCAAAGAGAAGACAGAGCTAGTTTCACTATGATTCCCAAAGGAAGACAGGCACAGGAAAGAAACAGAATATTTTGACTTAAACTAGTTTTAATCAGGGTGCCTTCCATATGTGGATTAAGGCAATCTGATTTCTTAATGCATTTTACTTGTAATTTAGGTTATTTAGCAGTAAACCTGCATTCTCCACTTTTCTACCTAATTTGAATGTGATACACTTATGTATAGGGCATGCTTATTCAAAATGCTTTCCAATAGATCCTTTCAAAGAACAACATTTTGGATTTCAGGATAATAAATTGGGTCATCTGAAGTGCAGCTCGTCAAGGACAACAACAACAAAATAATGGTTTGGCTTCAGTGTAGACAATGTTTCTTACTGAGGGACTTGCAATATTCTTTTATGTTATACTATTGAACATTACTTGAGTGTGCATCAAAATGGAAACAAAATACTAACTTCCACAATAAACACACATACCCCGGGCAAAAATTGGATTAATTTTTGCACACAGCAGATGTATAATGGGTAAAACCATGGTGTTTAATATTAATCTTGAAAAGTTGAAAAAGGACATCTGTATAATTAAGTGCCTTCAGGCAAATATCTGCCGCTAAAGTTAAATGAACCTAACCTGTCTGGTATCACTTGGAAAAATTATGCCAGGAAATTAGATCTTAATCTTTTGACTGTTCAACAATAAATTATGGGGGTCTTTTCTAGTGTATTGAATGGCAATTTTGGAATCCAAAAAACAGTTTATAGTAATTTCTAGTAATACGTGTAAGTTTTGTAACCCTATTAGTTGTTTTTTTTAGCAAGCAAACAAGGACACATCTGTAATTATAGAGCCTCATGGAAGAGATTCAGAAATGCAAGTTCTGTGAAATGCAAAGGAACAACGGCCGTGCATGATGCATCAGAAGAGCACAAACAAAACAAGGTCAAAGTTACATCATTTTAATTAAAACAACAAGAATTAATTACTGAAGTCACCCTTGAAACACCTTCTGCTATACAGTTCTCTGCCTTTATTAGAGATTTTCAAAACAAATACCTAATTCAGACCATTTCAGAGTTACCCATTCCCTGCTAATTTAGATGTAAACACCTTTTTATATTCTGGCTGCATAAAGCAGTGTGCTTTCATAGAAGTGGCTGTACCTTAATTGACATGGTATTCAACACATACTGAACTTGTATCAATAATATCATGGTGGAACAGATTGTCATTTTGAAGTATATAACAGAGTATGAAGAAATAGATAATGATGCTTAGTGGTTTACTAAAAGGCTTTTTCGGTGGTGTTTTTGGTTTTTTGGAGTTGTTTTTTTTTACTGAGTAGCACTGTTCAGTTACCTTTTCTCTCTCTCTCTCTCTCTCTCTCTCCGCCCCTCTCTTTACAACTTCTCCTTCCATTACAGACTGTTAAGCCCCAGAAACTGGATCAGCTAAGCGGCAGACTCAGTAACAGTAAATGAAGTGCTGTAAGCTTACATCAGACTAATTAGTCTGAGGGATAAAATAGGGGGAGAAACTTTTCAGGTTGCTTTGTGAAAGGCAGTTTGCTTAATTAAGCCAACCACTAATTGTTAAATATTTTTCAGGCATTAACAGAGCTACGCCGAATGTAATTAAATTTTGATTTTAGTGGTATTTGCTGGGATTAAAGTCGCAATCTGCTGAGGCGCTAGGGTTAGTTAATATTCACTTCACTGCCACAGCTGTCCTCCATTACATTACAAAGGACAGGAAAAGAGACAGCAGAATAGGGTGAAGTAATGAGAAAGCTATTCATTCATTTGAACCAGCTTCACACTGTACAGTCTTGTACAAATGGATCCGATCTGCATGACACACAACTAGGCATTAAATCCGATTTAATTTGATACAATAAAGGAAAGCCTAAGCTCTAATGCATTTTTTATTTTTATACTTAAGCACTATGCAGTGTATCAAAAATATAATCATATGATTATCATATGATTCCATTCAAGTGGTATTTCTAGACTTATTAGCTCTACAGGAGTCCACAAGGATTGTAAACCAATTCCTGCTAAGCTGTTATTTGTCCCATGTGTGTCTGAATGAACCCTTCACATCTGTGGACTGTGACTTTGAGTCCCCAGTAGAATATTTACCGGCAGGATCAATGTTTTAAGATTTTTTCTGAGCTGCAAAAAGATTGAGCTAGTGGAGGAGTCACATGGCCTGGGAACAGATGACCAATCTCCTAAAGGCTGAGGTATTTCCTAGCCACTCCCACAGGGAGAATCCATGCTAATGATTCTTAAAGCTTACTCTATTTTCTCCAGGGTTACCATCAATGGCCTTTAGAAAGCATTAATGTTGGGTAGGGTTTTGATACTACATTTATCTTGCCCAGAAATGACTAATTCAATTGTGAAGTACATTAATGTTAAATATTATAGTCCTCTCCTTCAAGTAATTTTTATACCACAATATTATATCAAATGATCGGTGTCACAGCACAATCTGCAAACAGATCTTAGGGACCTGAATCAATATTTTCAGAAAATAGTGCTGATTATTGGGTGCAAGAAAGAGCCTAGATCCTTCCTCTGTCAGTGATTTGATAAACCAAAGTTCCCATGTTAGTATGTGCAGATAGGCCTGCAGGTCAGAGAGAGTTGATTATTACTCTCTCTTTTCCTGTTTTTGTTTTGTGTCCTTCACTAGGAAAGTCTGTCTTGGTGTAATTTGTAAGGCCTGGACTCAGACTTTAGGGCTATATCTGCTGAGAGCAACACCTCTAAGTTCTTTGCTGTTGAACAGCTTACTTGACCAGTGGCTTCTTAATTACCAAACTTTTGACAGCACTGGGGCACACATAGTCCTTTTCTTTTTTGCTTCTCTGTATAATCAAGCTGCAAAAAGGCATTCTATATGTCAACATCTCAGTCAGGCCATCACAGGGTCTCAGCTTATCTTGTAGGCTTTAAAGGTCCAATTGTTTGATTTGGAACGGCCACACACCATCAGAATGCTGTCATTTTTCCAGGTCAGAAGCACTTCAGACTTTACCAAGCATTTTGAACTGGGCTTAATATTGTCATCTGGAAGAGAAGAGAGGAGAGGAAGCTACTGGTAATAAAGAATCTTTCATGATGCTCTCAATGGCTGGAATATTCAGCAAATCAATTTTCTCATTTGTACTGCCTTTTAATTGCAGCAATGGGAAGAATGATCTCCCCACCAAGATGCCACTTCTGGTGCTACATTCATAACTCATAATGGTTTTACTTGCCTACTCTCGTCTTCTTACTGATGTTGCTGTTCCTCTCCAGTCCTTCAGTGTTGCACTAGTGGGCACAGACAGAAGTGACAGTTCTTGCCTGGTCTGGCCACAGAAAGTGCTCTATAGCCATGACCAAACACAAGTGTATGGCTGCAGACCACTTCAAAGATTGCTGATTGGGTGAAATTCTGAACCCTCATTGCATAAGAGATTAGATAAAGACATAGACGTAACCATTTCAAAACATATATCTGTCCTGCCTCCCAGCCTGTTGCAGGTTTCAGAATAGGAGAGGAGAAAGGGAGCAGAAGAAGTCAGTCTGGGTTTTTTCAGCCCACACTGGGGTCTGGGTGGGTGTATTGGAGCCCTTCAAGGTGGAGGAAGCTCCAATTCACCCACCCCACCCTCCAGCACTGGCTGGGAAACCCCTAGAATGAGTTCCCTCTGCCCCCACTTCTGAAAACAGGGAAAGGCTGGAACGGAGGAGGGGCCATTGCTAGGAGGAACTGGCTGCAGGCTGGGAGCCAGTAGCTAGATTTTCCTCCCCCAAAGAAACAACAGTAAATTTATATTTAGTCCATGGAATTGTTGTAACTCAGAATACTTCCTGAAAAGCATTCTGAGTTACAATGCACTTCTGTCTGCACCCAGTGCTATCATATGTCCATGTGTAGAGAGATAGGTTCAGGGCACAACTGTAGCAGTGATCCTGCACATATCTATCACTCCCAGATCTCTACCAGTCTCAGACACCTTGTTCCATAATCTGAAAATGGAATATAAGGGAAAAGTCTTGAGTAAAGAAACCTTTCAATTGCTGGAGCACCCACCTGTCTTGTCATATTATATTTGTGCAGTAGATTTGAACCTTGTATAATAATAAACTACTTTAATTTTTTAAAATATATTTATATTCAGTCAATTTTTCAACTTCAGGTGATCTTGAATTGCCTTTGTGTCATCCCATATGTGGGCAGACATACTTGGGATTATGTACACAAGTGCATGGGACTCAGTTTGCAATTATGCAGCTTAAGCAGTGCGATGGTAGATCAGGTTCAGTTTGTGCAGATGTTTGCTGGTGCCAAGAGCTGCACTGGGAACCCATCTAAGTAAGTTAAGGTGTGGGGAAAAGTGGACAAGATCAGGGTGGTTGGCAGGTCAGAGAGGCTGACAGGTTTACAGGGGCATTGGTGGGTGAGTAGGGGTTTAGGATCCATCTGGGGTTGGGGGATCAGGGGGCTAAACATAGCTCAGTCAGGATTGTAGGGGAGGGGGGAGGAAAAGCACAGCCCCCCAGGCTGGGACAAGCACAACTAGGCTTTCCTTGCTCGGGGCCTACACTCCAAACATGTACAGAAGTTCATTAAATTGGGACAGTCTAGTCCCGATCTAACTTACTTCACCTCCTCAGGTGAACTAAATTACTTCAGGCTGGCTATTTTTGCTCTGATCTAACCTCCCCAAACATCTGTACAGATTGGCAATTAGACCAACCTAACCATAGTTAGGTCAATCTAAATATAACATCTTTACATGCCCAATTTGGGACATAACTGTCCTTCTAGTCATGGAAGCGGAGGATAGCAATTCTGAAGTGCAATTCAGATGAGATATTAGGGACCTAAAAGAGGATACTGAATAAAGTGATTAAAATACTTGTTATTTATACCAGCAGGATCAGGTACAAAGGAGGGGGAAAAAAGCAGTTGCATTTGGCTATTCTTTACATTTTCACAGTAAATAATCATATTAATGTTCCAATGCTATATTTCCATTTTTTAAGTCTGGCAATACTCACCCAGCCCCTTCTTTCTCCATCTTGTCCTCCCTTTTACTTGTAATATTCACTTCTATTGATTTCTTATTACTTTTTCAAATAATTTTGTTTTCTGCTATTCTTTCTACATATAGGTAGTCATTTTACCAGAAGAATTATTTATAGGACAAATGCCTGAGCATCCCCAGAGCAGATGCACTGAGTTGCCCTTTCTGTTTATATGGTGTCTAGCACAAAGCTTCACTTGTCCTGTTCAGGACTTATGGGGCCTACTTTATAAATTTGAAATAATAAGCGTATCATTTCCACATACAAAAGTATATTCACATACTTTGAGGATGTGCTTATTTCCAAAAGTACATGAAAATGAAACCTTCTTGCAGAAATATTCAGGTGAAAGTGTGGTAAGTGTAGTGAAAATGAAATGTGATTTCAAACTCATAGACTGATGACACATTTTCTCTTTCCTACTCCCATCTTTTCTTGTATATCACACTTCCTGGCAAATAAGACACAGGCCTTTTTTTGGAAAGGCCAAATGAAACAAAGATTTTTCCAGTCACGTCTGAATACTGACTGCAGAGGATCCTGACTGCAGTTCCTGTGGCTGTAAGAGGGTTAACCCTGTAGCTCCACTTCAAGCTTCAGACCTTGAAGAATAAACTTTGTCCCCTCTCTCCGTGAGGCTAGAATGAAGACAGTGGGGGCACCTACACAACATGCTTACTGCAGTTGCCTAATTAGCTCCACAGTAAAGCATCTCCATCTACACATGCAGTGCTATTAGGTTGGAGTAAACTAATTAACTCCATCATAGATTATTAGCACTGCCCAATACAAGTACTACCCTACAGCAGAGTTATTTACTCTGCTGCAATGCACATGTAGATAGTGATGGCGTTAGCTGGGGCCTGAAGGTGATACAGTGCGGAGGCTGCCTGCTGGCTAGCTCTGGACTGTAGCACCTTAGTGCCCCAGCCAGCCCTTCTCAGCATGTTGACCCCTAGGGGCCTCTGCCAGCTGGGGCTGCTCAGCCCCAGCTCAACGTGCTGCAGTCCTGAGTCCTTGTGTAAATGCTGTGCCCAAAAACAGTAAACTCCAGTGCAAACTGAACTGTTTTTATTGTGTCTTGTTAACGTCATGTGTAGATGCACCCACTAACATCTTGCAGCAGTTTCACCCTGCTTCTATTCCTCAAGGCTTCTATTCTAGTGAATAAAGATGAGCTTCCCTGCGTAAGACATGTGCCCAATTTTGGAGGACTAATTTGGGAAGAAAGGTGCATTTGGTCAGTAAATAAGGTATTTTTGTATTCTGTAAGATAGGTAGAAGGAAAAATGTGTTTATTTGCTTTGTACTTCTAACAAGACCACAAATACATATATTTCATCCACATCAACTGCCTAAGGTTCTGATTTTACCAACACTTATACCCACACTTAACTCCTATAAGTAGTTCCAATAACATCAGCAAAATTATGCATATGACTGAAATCATGTGCATAAGGGCTGGAAAGATAAAGGGCTAACAATTGATATTAAAAGCCACATATTCTGTATTGTGACCACATTATGAACTAAGCAGAAAAAAACAAAAGATAGTAAAGATGAAAGTCCTTATTCATATTATAATTAGAGTCAAAGAACGTAGAAAGTTATCCCAAAATATTTGAGAGGTAAATGGATAAATGCATAAATATACATTTGAAAGTTTTCCCAAGTACAAAAGACCCTCTTTAAAAAGGATATCTTTTTTTGTATCTATCAAACGAGTCATATTTGAAGAAAAAGGAATATTAGAGAATATAATTCATACCAGAACTATATAACATAAGTAAATGAACAATAAAAATGATAAATTGGGCAATATAAAAGATTACAGAAATAATGCTTTTGCATATTGGGCATTCATTAAATTGACTTTCCAGGGTAATTACTTTAACATTTCTACCTCTGATTCAGCACAGCCTTTTGGATCATTAAACTAGATAGTAAATATTATGCATTTTCAGGACTAGCACTTAAAGACCTCTTCCTGGAAATTCGAAAGCTATGTGAAGGCGATTTGTGGGTGGGGACTACTAAAGGTTGAATTTCTATGCAGATCTAAATTTATTGGACTAGAAGCTCAATTCACCAAGGACATTACCCCCTTTCACAAATGGTTCTTTTTAAGCAAGCTAATATTCTTCATTTCAGTTCAGGGAGACACAAAGAACATTGTTCATACATATAGAATAAACCTGTTTTAAATAGTATGGTGACAAGTGGTAAGAGGTCAAACTAAAACATATGATTCTTATTAATTATATTATTATACTGTTCTTGTTTGTTTATGTTGTGATAGCATCTGGAAGCTTCAAGTAAGATTGGGTAATGCACCGTATAAATGCATTCTGAGAAACCCTGCAATAAAGAATTCAGAAGTTGGTCTTCACCCATAACAGGTAACATATGAACAGGTGAAATCATTTGGAATAATAACTAACACCTAAGGTGTTCAGAAAGGGTTGAAATAACTTTCCTTATATATATTTACATCTCTTTTTCTTCTCAGTGTTGTGTTTCTCTGTAATTTCTGATTTTAGAGGGGATTACAAATCATTGGAGGTCAGGTATTTCTAACAAAATGATTTTTCACCCAAAAATATAATTCACCTGGAAAATTTGTATTCCCACACCTCTCCCCTTGCAAAATTTGGAGGGAAAAAAAACCATTTTTCTTGAAGGGCTTCATCTCCCATTATGCAATGCAATCTTCCTCATGTTGGTGCCAGAGTATGCTCCATAGGACGATAGGCAGACAAGGTTTTTTGCGTGAATCTGATATCTTTTATTAGACCAACTTAAATAGCTGGAAACCAATTATTAAGCAAGCATTTGGGTTCAAAAACCCTTTGTCAGGCTCAGGACATTTCAGCAGTTGGTGTGTGCTCTTCCTGGATGGAATGACAAGTAAAGAAACAAGAGACTGGTCTGGTCTGCATACAAGACAGGTAGTCAGTGAAAATGTAGACTGAGGAGTCAATGGGTGAGAGACAGGGTGGGGGGGAAGGGAGAGAAGGAGGATGAAAAGTGAAGAGATAGCTAGGGAGTCAGATGTCAGGCAGGTTATAATGTGTCATAAATCCAATGTCTATATTTAGTCCATGATTTTTAGTATCCAGGAGGCTGATGAAGTGGAGTTCATAGGCTCATCTCTGAGAAGTGCTTTGTAAGTTTCCTTTGAGGATCAAGACTGAGAGGTTGGAGAGAGAGTAGTTTTCTTGTGAGAAATGTGCCCCCACAGGTAATTGGGTATTCTTGTCTTGGATAGATTTCCGGTCTGCATTCATTCTGGTGCACAGTTGTTGTTTGGTCTCTCCTACGTATTTTCCATCAGGGCATTTGGTGCACTGGATGAGATATACTACATTTCTGGAGGTGCAGCTGTAGGATCCAGGAATGCTGATGGCTCTGTTGTGAGATGTAGTAATTGTGGGGGTACTGAAGATATGTTGGCAGGTTTTGCATTTCTTGTTGTGGCATGGTCTGGATCCATTTGGTGTGTTCTGGGCTTGAGGAAGTTTGTTTCTGGTGATGAGGTTAGCGAGGTTTGGTGCTTGTTTGAAGTACCATGGGAAGACGTAATTTAGCCAGGAGCCTTCCAATAAAATACAACAGGTTGCAGCTCCCCTGAGGGAATGTAGCAACATGGGTGTATGTCTCCATTGCTACTTGGGATTAATCTGAGTGTCATTCTCAGCTGTACACGTTCTGATAATCTACACTGAACACCTCTAAATCAACTACCAATGATAATCTAGCCAAATCCAGAAGCTCTGATGTTCTAGGCCTGAGTTTGAGCCTGCCCCAATCTCTTCTACAGTGTGTTTGAATTTTACCTATGTGCTACAGCAGTCATTCTCAATATTTTTAGATCGCTAGTTACATCATTTGTAAAATGCCAACTCTTAATTCTAACTCATTTTTTTGAATACAGGTAAATAATAGAGTAATTATTTTGTTGCAAAGAACTCAAAAAGACCCCAGCAGGTCAGAAGGTGGTCCTGTGGATTCCTATTTAAAATCTCTGGGGTTATTTTTAAAATGTGACAGTAGTGGTACACTTAACAGTACTTGTACTGCAGGATACCCCAAGGCATCTGTAAAAGGATCTCAAGACACTCAGGTTGAAAATCATTGCAAGCACAGGAAATCTACCAGAAGTAATCCTGTGGCTTCCTATTTCTGACTTTCTTTCCTTCTTCATCCTACTTCCTGTTTCTACAGGATAGTTGACTGATTCCTGGGAGGGCTCCCCTCCGGGAAAAAGTAGTACAATGGCAATGGCTACAAGGTAAGATATAGAAATGAAAGAATGGCTGATTTGGCTTGGGTTAATGGAAGGTGAACCTAAATAACAGAGGACATGCCCATAGGGAAATGAAGTTTCATAGATTTCATAAATTTCATAGACATTAGGGCTGCAAGGGACCTCTGAAGATCATCGAGTACAGCCCCCCACCCAAAGGGCAGGA